ATTCAATTTTGTTGCGGTTTTATTTCAAAGTATAATAAATATGATGCCGTCAATTTAGCAATGTTGACCCGACCACGTCGAGCATCCGATTCTGATAATCAAACATCAACATCCTCGTTACCATCACCACCACCTATTCCGGCTGTGCCAACTATCTCAACTATCCCAACTACCATACCAACTATACCTTTAACATCAGCAACATCATCGACACCAACACCAACATCAACGATAACAACAACTACAACAACAACAACGGCGACTTTGTTAGCCCCACCACTATTAAATAATAATATTAATAAAAGTTCTATTTCGGTTGAATCTTCTAACCCATATATTAATTCTACGACCAACCAAGTTCCCGTAACACCTCGTAGATTAACGACCTTAAGCAAATTTACCTCTTATGGCAGTGGAAATCAGCATCATCATAGTAGCAGTAATTCATCTAATAATACTACCAGTACCAAGACAACCGTTTCTTCCGCTTCCACCGATTCTTACAACGAACATTCTACTTCTTCTTATATTACAAAGTCCAATTCAACTTTCTCAAAAAATACTATAAATCCGCAAGTTGCTACACAAGGGAAAATAAAGAAATTCTTCACTAAATCAAAGAAAAATGATCCACAACTTACAAAAGCGGCTCAATTATTAGAACAACGTCAATTTCATGAATCAATAATTTATCTCACAAGAATATTGGACAAACATTCTAATTCATATTCGGCAAGATGCGATAGAGCGTACGCGTATCGTCAATTGGAAAAATGGGCACCGGCTTTACAAGATTTAAACCTTGCAGTACAACGATTTCCACAAAAATCGAGAGCTTACGCTTTAAGGGGTGAATATTATTACTTGATAAAAAAGTATGATTTGGCATTAATAGATTTATCAAAATCATTGAAATTACAACAAACCGCCTTCGCTTTTAGAGCGAGAGCTGATGTCAATTGTGTTTTATTAAATTATTCCGAAGCTATCAATGATTTAAATTCCGCCTTGGTTTTGGAACCGAACAACCCTTATACGTTAACTTGTCGATCAAAAGTTTACTGCAAATTAAACTTATTCGCTGAAGCTTTGTTGGATTTGGATAATGTATTGACTTATGACCCACAAAATGCCTCTACTACTTTAGCGAATCGAGGTGAAGTTTATCGATTAATCGGTAGGATCGATATGGCTTTTGCTGATTTGAATAGCGCATTGGATAGGGAAGAAAATAACATGTTGGCCTTGGAAAGGAGGGGTTTTCTATATAAACATATCGGTAGGCATGTGGATGCATTAAGGGATTTTGATGAGATATTAAAGTTAAATCCTAAATCAGTATTTGGTCATGAAAATCGTGGAGAAATTTATCAATCCATTGGAAATTTAAATGAAGCACTTTATAATTTTGATGAAGCCTTGAAATTAGATAAAGATAATCTTTCGATACTTAAGCATAGAAGCGAAATACATCGTTTACTTGGAAATTATCAATCCGCCATCAATGATCTGGATCATGCTTTAATCTTGAGTCCTGATGATCCTTTCTTGCTGAGAGGTAGGGGAGAGGTGTATCGGTTGGTTCAATGCTTTGATAAATCTTTGGATGATTTTAATAAATCCCTTAAATTGGAACCTTGCAACGCTTTTGCTCTTACAAGTCGTGGAGAAGTTTATCGCATGTTGAGGCAAGGTCAAAAAGCCCTCGTTGATTTGGATCAAGCGATCTCTATCGCACCTGATAACCTTCTCGCACGCGAGAGTAGGGGTGCGTTAAACAGGACATTTCGTAGATATGAAGAAGCTTTGCGTGATTTAGATTTCGCTTTACAATTAAAACCTGATAGTATCTTCGCTTTGGCAAATCGTGGTGCGGTCTATTACATGTTGGATAGATATTGTGAATCTCAAATGGATTTGGACAAGGCATTACAGTTATGTCATAATTATTCTTTTGCTTTGGAGAATCGTGGCGCTTTGTTTAATACCCTTGGAAAATATGAGCAAGCTTTAATGGATTTAAATAAACTTTTATTGCTTGAACCGGAAAATACCTGGGCCTTATGTTATAGGGGTGAAGTCTTTTACGCTTTGGAGAGATATAATGAGGCTTTAATTGATATTAATAAAGTATTGGATATACAACCGACTTGGTGTTATCCTCTTTCACTTCGTGGCGCTATATACCGATCTTTGGGATATTACGTAAAGGCATTAGAAGATTTGACCAAGAGTCTACATAACGCTAAAGATAAAGCGTATAATATCAAGTATGAGAATAAAGCTTTATTAAATCGTGGGAGTTCTTATAGAATTATTGGTAAATTTAATGAAGCTTTGCTTGATCTTAATAAAGCTTTGATGAGAGATCCTAAAAATATTTTTGGATTATGCGAAAGGAGTTGTGTTTATTATAATATGGAATGTTATGATCATGCTTTAGTTGATTTAGATGTGGTATTAAGTATTGATCCTAATAATGCATTTGCCCAAAGTCAAAAAACAAAATTAGAATATGTCAGAAATGGTAGTGAGAGTGATTCTAGTTCCAGAACTAGTTCTGGTCAATTCTTTAATTATTATTCTGTGAGAAGGGTCGAAGAAATTTAAAAAGAGGGTAATTTACATGTAAATTTATTTTAAAGATTTGTATAATTTTTTTTGTATAAAATTAACATACATATATTATTTTGTTATATAAATATTTTATTGTTATTCCTTTTTAATACAGTAACAAATTTATATGTTGGGATTAGATGATATAAACATTTTATTATTATTATTATTATTATTATTATTCCTATCATAGTATATTACATATAAAAAAATATTAAAAAAAAAGTTGTATAATTATTTACTATTTCCTATATTATAAATGACAATAAGATTTATATTTATTTTATATATTTTTAATTTACCCAAAATAAAATCTATTGTGGGAAATTTTCTTTGATTGATCATATCTAAGCAAGTTAAAAAAGTGTTTATTTTATAAATAATTACCTCATCTTTCTTTAAAAGATAAGGAGTTTATAAATTTATGGTATAAGTTCCCATTTGTCAAATTTAGAAAGATATGAACTCCCAATCCCAAAAATGATGGATCAAAAAAAAAAATTAAAAAGTAATTCAAACAAATATGAATTAATGTATAACATCTTAGACCTAAAATAAGTTTGGCTAATGTAATCAACCCTAAATCAAATGCGCCTTTAGCGCGTTCTCGCAAGATTGTCAACTTGAAACTTTTTTCAGATCGTTAATATGTTACAGTAATGAGAAAAAACCATTTAACAGATCCTGCATACGGACGGTCAATCAGTCAGTTAAATCGGTCGATCAAAGGACTTTGACCTACTTGACCTACCATTGACCGACCGTTAATTGTAAGCGATTAAACATTGGAATCTAAAGATGGTGATTAACGTAACTTTAAATGTTAAAAAGGGATGATGTTATAAAATTACATTTTAAAATTCAATATATATATATATATATATATATTATTATTATTATTGTTATTTACAAAATTAGGTTCATAAATTTATTATTAAAGAGTGGACCATTCCAACAACAACCGTATAAACATACGACATTAAGTAATATAAAATGATCGAACTTTTTATAACGATTATACCACATAATGGTATGCCAATCAAAAATAATAAATTAAAATATTCATAACTAATGCCTTCTTGACTTCGCTGATGATGCTGTTGCGAATGAAGATGAAGAAGAAGAAGATGATGATGTGATGATGGTGGGGATGGTGGTGATTGATGAGAGAGTTGTTTTTCTTGACCATTAATTTTTCTATTCATAAATCGATCATTTTTTATAATGTTACTTGGAATCACATATTGATCTCTTCCTATCGGTTGCTTTTTATAAAGTAATAGATACACCGGTTTTATTCGATCCAAAAATTCACTAGAAATTATAACCCTTCTTTTACCGGTAATTTCGTCATTCCAATTCTCATTTCTCTTTAAATTCTCAATCTTCAAATTCTCATTCTTTCCACACTTGAAGGGAATTGGAATCACAACCCTGACAATAGGAACACATAATAACGTGGCCCAGGCCCAGTTACCTTTTAGCACTTGAACAACTTTGAACAATTCGGTAAGGGTTTTAAGTGCGGTAAAATCTATCTCCACCACCCTAACATTCTTTGAAATCCCATTATCACCAAGTGTACTACATCTTAAAAGTGTAGTCGAGTGGATGATTGAGTACGTTTTTATTATAGATACGATGCGGTTTAGGATTTTTCCATGTATGTTTATAAGGAATATTATAAAAACGAGTAATAAGTATATTGATGTCCAAGATATAAATCTATTGAAAGAAAGAGGAGTGCGCGTATTATTATTATTATTATTATTATTATTTTTTGAATTTTAGTTGTGAAAACATTTACGACAAAAATAAAATTTCAATTAATACTCACTTGAATAAATTGATGGGAAATTTTGGGGAGAATAAAGTTTTAATGAGTTCTTTTGTAAATTCAACAATGAAAAAGACAACGAAATTATGTATCGCATTATAAATGGTATCATACATTTTTTGTGTAAATAAATGATCATAACCAAACAATAAAAAAAATTTTTTAACCCCTCGAATAAAAAAATGGATTTTTAAAAATATTTACATATATATATCAAATTTTTTAATTTGAAAATTTGTATTTGACGAAAAAAAAAAAAGGAATTCGACGAAGAAATTGATGCATAAGAAATTTCATTTATTCCGATTTTATTAACTGGATCCTAAATATAAACAGATTTACTTAATATAACCCTAAAATATCATCTTGTCTCATTCCTAACCAAATCCTGTTAGTTAATTGGCTGAATATTAGATGTTTTATGATGACAAATAATTTCGTAAATAGTAAAAAATAATGATAGTATAAATGTATATATAAAAAAGGAAATGCTTCAAAAATCATGGAAAAAAAGAGCTCAATTTTTTTTATATCCGCAGCAAAAATTTTATTGTATGCCATTACGAAACCTGCTCCCCCTCCTTACCAAATCATCATCATCAAACTCTACATCGTCACGACACACGCGTACGGATTGGATGCCTTCGATCATCAAGGTGCAATCATATTTCTTCCTTATGACGCCTTCGCACAACATTACCTTCTTTACATCCCCAACCCTTTTTGCATACCTTCCAATAATTTTGAGATAATTTTCATTAATGGAATAACACATTGGGAATTTCAATATATCAATAGGAATGTCACATGAACCGAAAAACCATTCAAACATCTCTATCCATAATTCATTCTCACAACCATTCCCCCCGGTGCCCCCAATGCAAATCGATAATTCATTTAACGCGGGACGATTCTCGCTTAAAGCATTCCCAAACCTTTTCCAAAATGATTCATTATCACTTAATTCGTAATCCACCGATATGTTTACCTTTTCCAAATTCTTGCACATCCCAAGTACCTCCAAGAAATCGTCAACGATTTCAACCAACACGCAAAATTCCACCACCTTCAATTTCTCACATTTTGTCATCTCTTCCAAAACGATATTGCCTACGTCATAAATCTTTCTTATGAACCATTTCAACTTTCTTCCAAACCTAACCTCTTCAAGACCTCCACGAGAGTTCCTTATTAAAGTAGCTATAGAGTTGTGAGATGATTTTGAATTGATGTTTTTTCCCGAACAGTTCCTGAGGGTGAACTTTTTCAGGGATGTAAATCGAGAATTACGCAGCTGATATACAATATCACTGGTCAGGTTTACGCAATCCTCAAATACCAGCTCGTGTAAATTGTGGCATCGAATGATCCCGGTCATGAGTGATTGATTACTTGACAAACTATTTTGAAATATAATCCCGTAAAATTCCAGACAAGTTAATTGTTCTAAAATATTCTCATCGGATAATTTATAAAATATATTATATAACTCATAATACCTTCCCACTACGCATAATTTTTTTAATTTCTTTTGCAACGACAAGAAATCTATTATCTTCTCTGAAGAAATTTGATATTTATGATTACCGAAATTAAAGTCGTTATTATGTGGGGGTAAATTAAAATCTATGATAAAATTTTTGATGGACGTTAACCTTAGATTATTTTGTAACAACTTTAAGATTTCATCAAATTTGATTCCACCACAGATAAGGGTATTTATATTATTACCCTTCCGACCTTTCTTTCCAATTGGTAAGGTTTGATCTTTAAAGATGTCCAATAAATCTTGATCGATTCCATTAAAATGATTTATTTCGAATTTTTTAAAGTCATTAATAAAGTTCGTACTTATGGATAACTCAATTATATTTTGTTGTTGTTTTAAAAAGATTTTAAACAACTCCATAACTATCGTTCTTTTCGTTATTATGCTATACGGGTTATACGTGAACAATGATTTCTTAATATTATTGGCGAACGAAACACCATTTGAAAAAGAGCTCAGATAAATGGATATGAAATTGTAAAGATCATCATATCTTAGATATTTTAAGTATGACGAATAATCAAATAATAAGTTTGTCTCGATTTTCATGAGATTCTTAAAATCTTGATTCTTGTATATGTAAAAGATCCCGTTATCATTTAATCGAACCTCAATCTCTTTAAAATCGCTCTTGTATCGTAAACATTTAATGTACAGATCGATTAATTTGACAATCCTGTCCTCGATCGTAACGTTATCATTCTTTGAAGATCTTGTCAAATAATTCTGTAAAGTATTTGAAAGGTTCATTTGATCATTATTTATTCGTGAAGGATGTGAATTGGATTGCAACAGGTGAAATGGTTTAGAATATAATACCTCAAGGGTATTAATATGCCAAAATTTATTTACTAACAGACAATTATATAGAGAGACGTAATCTTTTTGTAAATATGAGAATATTTGCGAAAGAATTTCGGTCGGGATTAACACCGAACGGTGATGTTTGTAATTGCCGTTGTTAGCGTTCATTGATTGTATTTAAAGGAAAAAAAGTGTTAAAAATAAAGGATGTCTAATTATTTTTTTATTTTCTCTTTTTTTCCTCCTTGTCTCTTATATACAGAATATCCACTTTTTTTTTCCTTTTTAAAAAAGAAAAAAAAAATGATAATAAATCAAGAAATCGATAAAATGAATAAAGAATGAATAAAGAAAAAAAAAATAAAAGTAAAAAAATTTATTTGTTTTGACTTTGAGAGAAAAAAAAAAAAAACTTACGAATGTAAATCATTGGTGAATCGCATGTTCCTCACATGTTATCATAAAGATGGGTCATATGACCACAGTATTAATATTATTATTTCACAATCTCGTAATACGCATTTCAATTGGTGAAGTGCAAAGTGCTTTCTTTAGGTATTAAATGTTTTTTTATCTGCATTAATTTGATGCAAATGTACCTTTTCGTTTTCCTAATTTGATCATACTTTCGGATTAAGTAATATCCGCAACCCAATCATTCAATATTTAAATTCTCAGAATTCGAATAAAAGTTATACAAATAAAGACTTTAATTATTTAAACAATGCTTTTTTTTTCAATAATACAAATTATCATGAACAAATAATAAGCATTGTTCATTCAATAATTTTTTTTTCTTTGAAAATACCGAATAATGTTGATATTTTATAATTCCTATCAAGGCTCTTTTAAGGAGCACTTCTCAATTTTTGAACTTTCACCACCTGTCAAATATATGCCAACTTCTGGGTATTAGTAAAAAATTTCTGATGGAACAAATTGTATGTATTGTAATAGAGAATTCCCTTTGAAAATTGCGCAATAACCTCTTGCGATTTAATATAACACGATAATGATTATATAAATTACTATGACAAGAACTACCTGCAAAAAAAACGGGCTCTTTAACGATTTTTTTTTTTTTGATTTTGAAATAATGTTTTGAGGTAAACATGTCTTAAATTATAAACCGATTATCATTAACCCTTCTTTCTTGAATTTTATTTGTTATATTCACCAGTGTTTGTAATATCTTCAATTACAAGAAGAGCATTAGAAAGTCCTTCAGGGGTAATCTTGGTACCGGTAGATAAAGCCAACCGTTTCATGGTACCCATTCTTTTGGCATATTGAGCAATGATGCAAAGATATTCATCATCGATAAAAGTTGATATAGGGAATTGTAAGGTTTCCAAATTACATTTCACATTTTCGAATAGCCAATGTAGAACCACCAACCAAAATACTGGACCGATACTAATCGTTAAATCTTGCAAACGAGCGGGTATATGCATTGATAAATTCCTCCAAAAATCTTTTTCGTCGACCAAATCCAATTCTGCAGAGAAGATAAACCTACTTAATTGATTGGTAGACTTCAGGAGATTCAACACTTGAGGAAATATATTCCTCCTTATATGAATTTCGAATAAAGTTAGGTTGGGACATGATAACGATATTACATCCATGATTCTCTCGGGTGGAAAATTCGTACCCCAGCCAAAATCATGCGGTAATTCTCTACCATAAAGTGAACTTCTGCCAAAACGTAAAACTTGTAAACTTTCATTCGTACTCGAGATCAAGTTGACTAATGGTTCCATCGTTTCTTGATTAGCATTAACTGCTTGAGGTATTCCCGTTATGAAGGCTCTGAAAATATCATCAATTGGATTATGAAATCTGGTGAATATAAAGGTTTTCAAATTTCTAAATATCGCGGTGTTAAAGGATGCGATCACTTCATCGGTTAATCCTTTACAATCCGTTATCACCAATTTTTCCAATTGATAGCATGAAGAGATCGTTTCAAATGTCTCTTGCGCCGATGGAATCGAACCGAAATGAATTTTATCAAATGATAATTCCGTTAAATTGTTAACGTGACACTTTAACGCTTTAATTAATCCCGGGATATGATGAGATCCTTGACTTATGCCAACTTTCTTTAAACAATTTTGTTCTTCAATTAAATCTTGCATCGTAACAGTTATCTTTAGATCTTCTTTCTCATTATTAACCCTTAACTCTGACGAGAATTTAAATTCCAAAGTTTGGAGATTTTTGGTTACGTTTCCAAGCATTTTCATGATGTTACCATAATTCTTGTTGGCACCAAGTTCTAATTTTTGTAAATTCGTTAAAGAAGATTTTGAACTTTTAAGTATATCAAGCAAATCTTCTTCAAACGGTGATAAATATTCTAAAACCCTAATAACATATGAAGGTTCCCTGGGTGGTCTAATCCCATGAATTAATTTGTTACCGGACAAATCAGGCACATCAAGCAATCTTATGACATTAAATGATAAATCTTCCACAGTAGAATAATTATGAAGGAATAATTTGATTAATTCTTTTGAGAATTCTCTTAATATATTAGTTCTATCGAAAGGTGAGGAATGTTTTTGTTGACCTCGACATTCCGCTTCATGTAACCATACCGAACTAAAATCATAAACGTTATGATATCGGATGGACTTAATAAATCTTGGATAATCGAATATAATCGGTTTAATTGTGGGTTTAATGATGATATGATGAGATGATAAGAGCTCTTTGGATTTTTCATCGAAGAATTTGGTATACGTTTCAATGAGTCTACCTGACGTTCGTCTTGCAAGTTCGAAAGGACGACTCCACAACGTGGGCACTACACAACTACACCAGAACTTATTCACAAATAGGCATGAATGTAATGACCTTCTATCATCCTTTAAAAAATAAAATATCTCCTGAAGGCACTCTGGCGGTAAAAATGCCGACATAATTGAACGTTAACTGCGGTATGTTCTAATAATTTCAAGAGGAGAGAAAAGAGATGATGTGGTATGATGTAAATGATATGATATTTATAATAAAAAAAAAAAAAATCCCTTTATAGAGTATTCCTAAAAAGTTGATGATCTTTGTGCGCTATCACAAATTTTAATGCAGTATCTTTTATAGTAAGATGGAAAAAAAAATTTAGCCAACAATTTTGCAGAAAAAATCAAAAGTAAAATAAAAAAAAATAGTATAAATATATATATATAGGGGGAAATACAAAATTTTGGTTATTATTTATATTATTGGATCTCAGTCATGTGCTTAATAATATCAAAAAATTTTCTTTTCTACCCATATCATCCTAAAATATGATCTTTGAAACGTAAAAAAAAGCAATAGCAAATAAATTTGCCTAATTTGCTATTTTTGTGATACCGATTAAAGAAATTTAAAGACTGTACGACTATGATGTTATGTAATACCTAACATTTTTAAAAAAGAGATAAGATTCAATTATAGTTTTTTGATATACGATAAAGTATCTATTTTTCCGACCAATCAATCTTGTCTCACGGAAATTTGATTGGATGATGTTCTCATGTAACGAGGATTGTTTTTCAGACATTTATTTAGTTATCTTATTTATGTATTGAATTTATGAGATTATTTCCATAAGAAAAAAAAACAGGATGTTATTAAAATGATGAATAAATTTATTCTGTAGATTTGGTAGACATCTCTTACTTTAAACTGCATTAACTTTGTCATTGAAATTTTAAAAATCAATCTGATCAGATTTGATTTTCGATCAGATATGATGTTTAAACACAATAGGAGTTCTGCAACTTTAAACTTTACGTCAAACGAGAATTAAGGTCATTGCTTAGGAGAAAAATCGAAATAATAATGAGTTGTATATATCACTTGATGATACATATATTCTAATAAAAAGCTTTATAATATAATTGAGTTTTTACCTATTAAAATATTTACAAAAGAAACGAGATTTGAAATATAATAATTTTAAATACCGATGAATGGTTAGATTATGTAAGAAATTGATCTAACAAAAATACAAGATTCCGCTTGATATTCTAAATTTTTCTTGGTTAATGCAAAACATTTATTTCCCATGAATCAATCATTTTTTATTATCGAAATAATAATAAGGAGGGACAAGTTTTCTATTATTTCCGAATTTGGTTATTTCCGAAACGGTAACCAAAAAATTGATGATTATAAAAGATCATTAGAAACTTCCAATGGAATCTTCTAACTTCCAAATGGAAAAAAAATACTGTTTTCGACGTGTTTCAGGTTTTAATTTATTATATTAATACGTAGAGAGTCGGAATTGACAATATGCTTGAATTATTGTCTTTTGTGTTTTGTGTTAATTCCAATAATAACCATCGGAATTTCGACCAAAGAATTCCATTTTGTGTACAACAAATAAAAATTACGTGGTTTTTCTTTTTCTTTATTGTTTATTATTAAAATAAATTTCATATACAGTGAATGTTTATTATTTACTAAACCAACATATCAAAAAAAAATATTATCAATTCAGAAATTATTTATTCTTTAAAAAAAAAATTCAATAGTATTAATATTATGAAAATAGGTAAATAAAATAAAAAATATATAATCAAGTTCAATGTTTAAGTTTAAATTCTTCCGATTCTTCAAAATAATGTCTAGCCTTTTCCAAAGCTATAAAATAACGATGTGGTAAATGATTTCGAATAGGAAGTGGGTAAAGGTTTTCAAAAGGATATAAAGCTTTATTCTCATTAACTTTAACCGGTTGCTTAATATTATGACTTCCTTTAAAAGCGAATTTCATATCGTTCCAAGTTGTCATTTTATCAAAAATAAAGTAATCTTTTGTTCCCAAGATGGGCCTTGTCGATGTTGGTTTTGAACCGTCAAAATTGAACGTAATTTCTTCTCCAATATGAACATAATTGATGGCTTCGACATTTGTTAAATAACGTTGGATTTTAGGGTTATTCTTAGCAGGTGCAACATGAGGAACGATGTCACTTCCTGCTATAACTCTCCATAAAGTTGTAGATGTTTCAAATGGTTCGTTGGATCGGGAAGAAAAGGACAATGCGAAATCGTCATCACCAACAATTGGTGCAGCGAAAGCGATTCCATCGCGAAGAATACAATTTTCACCTAAAATTTCTGGTGATTTCAACAATCGAGTATAAAAGAGTGTAGCCAGACCTCCACCCAAAGAATGACCGGTAATCCATAATGAAACTGGATTATCTTGTTTTACAATGCGATTATATTTTGTAATATCTGCAACTTTACTGCGTATAGCTTCGATTAATCTCATTGATGGACTTCTTCTATAAAGTTCTGATGACTCTTTATCGTTTTTAGGGAATAAGGAAGTGTAAAAACCTTCATGAACATTTCCATAAAGATAAGCTCTGGCGTCAATTTTTTGTACCAAAAAATCAATTAACCATTCGCTAAAATAAGCTGCTGTGGTCCCCTTGAAGGCCACCACGATAAAATTTGCTTCTCTATTCCAAAACATTCCAGCGTAAGGTCCACCGAGAGAATTTAATTCAGATATGGAAGAGAATCCTAATCCCCAATCGTTTGATTGTTTAACAATGGTTTTTTCGGCTTCCTGAAGTTGACCTTTAATATATTCAATATCTTTTGTTCTCACTTGTGCGCCTTTATTTTGAATTTCTTGGATTTTATTAATCGCATTGGTTACCTTTTCCTCCTTTCTTTCATATACAGTGGTAGCCAAGAATAAAAGCGTTTCCACCATATCAATGTTAAAATTTCGAATCTGTTTGAAGGTTTTGAAGTCACCATCATGTTCATCCGCGTAACTTTCAAAAGGTTGTCCCAATCCAAAAGTTCCTCTTTGCACGATATCATCTATTATGTGACCATAAAAAATAAAGGGTATTAAATTATTAAATAAATCTTGGGGTACCATTTATGATTTTAATTAAATTTATGATACATACCATATTTATTTTCCGATAAATCACCCCAATCCCTCACCGGTTTTACCGATGTATCAATACTTAAGTAGGAGACGGCGCGAAGGATAATATCGAGAACGATTAAAATAAGTGCACCAAACGGAAAAAGAACATATAAGACGAAGAAATTAAGAGGTTTAACGAATGGCATCGTAATATCAAATAATAATGTGTAGAATAAATATTCGAAGACGCGTTTCAAGTAATTGGCATAGCGAATTGAAGGGATGAGCAAAGGAACATAATTGTAAATTGTTTTCTCAATTTTGTTGCAATCTTTAAGATTTTCCATATCTTCAAGATGACAACGTTTATCCGAAGGAATCTTATCAGCGAGAGAATTATCGTTTCCTTGAGAATTAAATAAACTCATTTTTTTTACTTTTTTTTTTAATAAAAAAAAAAATTTGTGTAGAAGTTTATTATTTATTTTTTATTTTAAAAAATTTTTTTTTTTGTCGAGTTTTTTTTCAAACGAATCGATCCCCCTTTAAATACTTTGAATTTCAATCACGATAAAGATAGAAAAGTATAATTTGTGCAGAGGCGCAAGAAAATTCATCGTAACATTTGCATGTGAAGCAAATCAAAACAAATAAACAAATAAATCAATTATATTACGAACTTGTTTTATTAAATAGGGATAAGAATGCTAATTTTAGAAAAACATAACGTTGAATAATGAGATGATATTTTGTTCAATCGGAACTCGGAATTTGATTTTACAAATTCTGTTTAACCAACTTTGTCTGTGGACGTGGGTAAATTGATTACCAAAAAAGGAAAAAAAGGAATTGTTCCTTGTCATGTGACTGATCAAAAAACAAGCCTGTGTTTATTTAATATCACGACTAAGCAGAAATGGAACCATGTTTTGATTTATTTATAGGACCTCTTTGAGCACAATACGTATTCCGGACAATAAATTTTATTACTTTAGATCTTTATTATATCAATTCAAAATTAATGAATATTATGATTTTTGAAAGAATGATATAATGAAATGCTGTTTATCACATGAAACCATTAACTTGGAACATTGTTTCTATCATTTTAACTATCTGTAAACATTGATAATATAATGAATGTGAGTTTCATACAATTATGATCCCAATTTCTTGTTTGTATCCTTGATTGTATATTTCCCGTACTTTTAATGTAAAAAAAAGTATTATTGTTAAAATAAATTCATTGAGACTTGACAGATTATAACGAAAAATTGTATTTAAAAAATCACGCACATTCTTCTCGGGATCATACACTTCCCAACGACTAGCAGGAAAGATATGTTTGTTCTTTTCGTACCAATTCCTTTCAACCACCTTACCCGCGTGAGACTGATTAGATTAACCGAAAAAAAAAGTTATTGGAGTTTTATTCAAATAAATCACAAGAAATAACGCGAAAAAAAAAGTTCCTTGCCTCATCTTTTTCTACAGTAGCATCATGTGTTAATCGAACATCATCGTGTACATCAAAACTAAACAAGGGTCCTGATTTTCCTCTTGCCTTATTGATGATAAAATCATAGAATGTATAATGCTAAAAAATATATTATATCTTAAAAATATTGTAGGATTTAACAAAAAATTGACGTTTCAGAAGAACCTACATGAGGAATGATTAAATCTTCCTTAACATAAATTAGATTATCTACGCTGACACCGCGTAATTCATGAAATTGTTGTCTACATTTTTCCAGAAATGTTGCAATTGAATCACCCTTTTTACAAGATACGGTCTTACGATGACCGGTACCATCCCAATAAGAATAAGTGACACTAATTTTCTCATCTAATTAAATTATTAAAATAATTAAACACAATCAATGGTGCCATCAGACAAAGATTATAATGCTTAAAATGGATGCAAACTTTTGATTTCCTCCTGTTTTTGAAGCCATTCTAATCTCAATTGTTCTCGTTCCTTCCTTTCCTCTTCCTCTCTATCCCTATCAGGCAAGAATGAAGTATCAACATTAGGATTTTTACCAAGTTTAGGTTTCTTGCTTAATGGTTGAGGAGATACTAATAATTTTTATTAATCAGAATTAATAAGATTTCGACAGCAACATGTACCTTTTTACGAAATCAATCACCTACCATCATTATCCTCTATACTCTCAATTTCTTCAATATTATTTGTTATTTTTTTAAATTTAAAATTTTTAATTTCTACATCATCATCTTCTTGTTCTTCATCACCTTCTTCAAGATCAAATGATAATTTGACTTTTTCTGTTTTCTTACGCTTTTTCTTAAATTTTTCATACCTATAATTTTCTCAACATAAAACGATTGTTAATTAAATTTGAACATATATATATATTCTTAAATGAATTAACTTACTTTAATTCTGCAGTCCTTGCAGCTTCACGTTCCTTTTGAACTTGTATTTCTTTCCTGATTTTCTGGAAATCTTCAAGTTTGACCAGACCAATCGTTTCTTTTTTTAACGAATCTTCAACATCTTCGTATTGTGTGACAAATTTACTGTTCGTTATGTTAACTTGGTTATCCTTTTTAAATAAATAATGGAATAATAGGTTAATATGATATCATCTGCATTTTATTCTTAATATACGATTAATTATCAAATTTCTAATAAATCATACTATTCCAAATGGAATTTATTATGAACTCTAAATAAAATTTTACATTAATTTAAATGAATATACAAAAAGATTTTGAATAAAATAAAAGGAACCAACTTACTCACTTTAGTAATCTTCTCTCGTTGCTTTTCGAATTCACTTAACATCTTTGCTCGTTGTTTTTCTAACATGGCCTGCCTTTGACCTTCGGAAGGTGCACCTTTATATTCCATGATTTATTTATTTTAAGAATATCGAAAATGAAGGGGAGTTATATGTAAAGTTATTTTCATTTTCTTGATCAACAATATATGATATTATAGTAATTTGTTGGTTACACATGGAAAATCACTGGTTTTATATATTAGATCGCAGATATTCATGGAAAAGTTGCGACTAGCAATATAATCAAAATTTTAAATAGTTTGAAAGAAGGATAAATTTAGATTCTTTCTGTTACTGTAAAGCAGCACGTAATAAAAACAAAGGTACTAGCTTTATTGAGCAGATATTAGAATAGTTCACAAAATGTAGAATCGATAAGCAAAAAAAATCTATAATGCAAACATTGATGTTGAAAATATCAATGATGAGGAATTTTCATTCTATCTGGTTTGTTATCTTCTTTATTGTTAAATTTTTTGATAGGGTAAGAAGTCTAATCTTTTCTTTTGCCAACTTTCCATCCGATAATTTACCAGTGATGATGGTTTGATTATACTTAATGGTGATATCAAACCTTGGGTTAGAGAAATTTTCTACTTTATTACTACTTTGATGGTTACAAGTTGACTGTAGTGAGAAATCACGTCAACTCAAACAATTCATCGTCAAATTTTTTCGGAAAAAATAATATCTGGGAACGAAGCACACAAAATGTTAGAACATACGATACAATAAAATATTAAATTTCCAGATGGTTATTCTTCTAACGCAACAATTAGAGATTTTTTTTAGACTGGCATATAACGAAGTTGATGATTCTTTAATTATCATTTTACAGCAAAAAATTTAAATATGTTGGGGCAAAGATTTTTCTTTCTTTCTATATTAATCAAACTCTATATTTTAGAGTAGTTAATATTGTAGATATTATTCATAATAAACTTGAAGGATCTATTGAAGTAATTGTTGTAAATTCAAATATATATGGGAAATTATTTAATATTGGGCTCCTTCTAGGATATTACTTTTATTCTATGCTAAAACGAGAAAGGTTAATTCGACAAATAAAAAACGAATGATCGTTAATAATCCATTCATATTATAATCTGGTTTAGTTTGTGTCGATCATTTTATAATGCTGATCATTTACGGGGTCCATTGTATTGTTTTTACTGCGGTATCGCATTTCTGTATTATAAATCATGACCAAGTTATGGTAATTTTAATACTTTCAACTTCCCGACTTGATTTTTTTTCACTTTTTTTTTAATGAAAACCATGACTCTCTCAAAAATCTACAATAAAACTACCCAAGATGTCAATACAAGGGATAAACAACCAATCTTGATAATAGAAAACATGAGTGATTCCTGGTTAAAAGAAATTTTAACAGAATATAATGTTAAAGTCGTTCATGATTTTCAAGATAAAAACTCAAATCATGTCAAACTCATAACCCCTAAGCTTGTGCGTGATATTTTACGTGATAAAACGCTACAAGTTAATTGTATCAAAGGACCTTTGTCTTTGCTTAGCCGTAATGAGATTATTGTCAAGTTGCTACGCTTTGTTATCAAGGATAAGGCTTATTCTGACCTTATAGGTGTACCCCTCGTACCTGTTTTAAATGAATCGCATGCAGCATTTGGTGATAAAAAGTACTATCTTGCAAATTTCTCGGAACGAAGGTTGTTCCCAAAATATGGTCCCAATGTATTCGTCGACGATACTATAGATCAGGATATGAAAGAGGTGTTTTTGAACAAGGATTTTCAAAAAGCTAACAAGATTCATTTATTTGATTTAAACGGCTTTAAGAAAATCCTGAAGCATGATTTGTCTATACGACCAAGTTTAGAATGGGATCCAGATTCTCAATCCGTTCCCAATAGACATTGGTTAAAAGAAATTTGGGATCGTATCTTGGATTTCAATTGTGATTTACAATTATTTGATAATTATCCTCTTCTTCCCGCTGTCAAACCTGCTCTCCCTGGTATTGTTCCTAAAAGTCAACTTATTGCTTTAAACTCATCAACTCCATTGATTCGTCATCCTTCTAACTTCAACTATGAGCCTATGGCGTTTGTTCTTGAAAAAATTGGCGTTTGTTTTACGGACTTTCGTAAAGCTGAGCAGTTAAAAACGTATATTTTTGACTGGAATCCACAAAACGTGCTACGAATTATTGAGAAATTACGAAAGTTTAAAGATATATCAATGGAAAGATTTCTTAAACCTCTGGATTCGGAGAATAGAGAATCGTTTAGGAGATTTGTAATGGATAATTGGTACGAGTTTGTATACACACGTAGAAAAGGTAATATTTTTTTAATTAAATATTTAAGATTTATTAAGTCGAGAAATGGTAAGTAAATCTAATGAAATTTTTAATTTTTGATCACAGTTATTAAAGTACAAAAAGAATTTTACGATATATTACGTCAATTACCAATTTGGACTACTCATTCTATAGAGGACCCTTACAAATCTCCTAGAAACGGATGTCTGCTTCCTCAAGGTCTCGAATTTTATTCACCATTAGGAGTTGATAGTAATTATTTTGACGTCGAATCAGAAGGAGAGTGGTTGGCCTTGAATATGTTGGACGTTCCTGTTATAAGTTTAAATTCTTATATTACTGGCGTGTGTTATCATATCAAGTGTGTTAATCCGTCAGACCCAAAATATATGAAATTCATTAGTAGTTTATTGAGACTTCCATTACATATAATCCCCGAATCTCTTGAACGCTTTAGTATTATCCCCAACGAATCTTACACAAGGTTGATGAGAGCTAACGAGTTATATGACCCTTGTGAAGAACTATTTAGGGAGGTATTTGCAGGATCTGATCGATTCCTGCCTCTGGAACTCAGAAACGGTTGGGTTCTAGATGGTCTCTTAAAATTGGGACTTAATAGTGTAACGGATGGAAGATCATTTATCCGTGTTGCGGAAGAAATCGAGAATTTATCTCGTATGCCTTTGCCTCCAGAGAATTTGTATGAACGTGCAAAAGTGGTGGTTCGCCATTTTTACTACCACCTAAACGAGTTAGGTTTAACTGGTGAACGTTGGGAAAAAATTTCAAATATTAGATTTGTTCCCTCGAAACCTATCGATCCTCCTTTCCTTGAAACGGCATATTCAAAGGTACCTGAACTACATAGTTTTAGTTCACTTCGTTTGCCCAAATTTAAAAATATTTGTTGGACACAATGTCCAATTTATGATGATAATGTTTTACCACAATATAACGTCAACAATATATTCCCTGAATTGAGCGAAATTGAATCTCAAGTGGTTGTAGATCATCTTTATACCATAAGAGACATTGTAAGAGCAGATTTATCGGAATGGAAATCTTCTGGATTATCAAAGTTACTTCATACAGTCTTTCTTCAAATATATCAACATTTGGATCAGGATCCAATGGTACAAACATATTTAAAATTAAAATTGAAGGTTGATCCTAACATCTTTCTCAATGGAGAGGACGTATTTGATCACTATAATTGGGTTTCCGCGAAACAGTTGGTATTGAACATTGATGAGGATATCAATTCAAAGAATAGGGCGATTAATATTCATTTAGTACCTTTTAAAAGGTTGCTTCGTATTTGTGGAGTGCAGGAGATGAAAAATCCTCAGATAGACATGCAAGTTCCCGGTACGTATTCACAACGGGATAAGATTGCAATATCTTTAGCCAGATTCTTGGACGAACAATCTAATTCATCTTACAAGATTGAGAAACATGGAATACAAAGGTTCCATGATGTTTTCTTTCACATTCGTGGTGAAGTGATCGGTTCTAGTCGCTATGTGTTGGCAGCTTCAGCTAATCACTTTGAAAGAATGTTCACCTCGGGAACGAGGGAATCTAATCCGCAAGAACTGGTCCATGTTAACATTGATGATATAGGACCTGAGGCATTCTGTGTTATGTTGAAATGGTTGTACGGCAGAAGTCTTGAAGACGCGCTATTAGATATCAAGATGCCACCGATGGCTGATAAGGTTTCCTTTTATTTGGAAATCTATATTGATTTATTAAATGCTTGTGAAAAGTATGATTTGCAAGAACTGAAAAGGCTTATTGAACATCAGATCGTTAAGAGTAATTTGATTAAAGCTCAAAACGTTCTTGAGGTTAAGAAATGGGCTGAAAGATATAATGCAATGCAACTCTTTTCATATTGTAAAAATTTTAAGGAGGTGAATTTAACCCTTTTGGCCAGACATCGCTATGTGGATTTACTTTATATTGAAGGTGATGAGTTGTCTGATACACTGGATGAATACGAAGATGAACTTGGTGTCCTATATTGGGACAGAGAAGAAAATGAATTTTGTGATTGGAGCCATAATGCGGGACTAGATGATTTCGAGAAGAATTGTGGTTGGTGAATCAAATTGTCATTCAATTGAGATATAATCTTTTATTTTAGTTCCGTGAATGGAAAGAGATATGTATCTATTTCATTTTTTTTTATAATTATTATTAATGCACGAATTTACAAAAATGCATAATATAATAATCTATTTGAGAATTGGTCAACTTTTTCACTTATTCATTTTGTAATATTGTGCGTTTCACGCCGCAGAGATAAATTCGAAAAAAGTGTCAAAATTATTTCCTTTTATTTTTTTTTCTTTTTTGTTTTCAAAAATAAGTAAATACTGTAATATAGATTTCATTAAAAGAAATATTCTTTTTGGCATAAACTCGAACCGACGACTTATTTATTATTAAATCAAGAGTAATGAAAAAACTTTAAATCCGAATTAGGTAATTTATTTTTGGATTTACCGAAAATGAGAAACAATTTAAAATTTTACATTCATCAATCAACATTTGTTATATTCATTATGTATTATTCTATTCAGTTCGTAATTAATTTTATAATTTTATTTACTCCGATTAGAAATTCCTACATAGTATAGCATTTTAAACTTAAACACAATAACAAAAAAATGAATATTTTAAATAAAAATAATATTTATTAAAATTATTAAAAATTATTATTCTTTTAAAAACATAATTTCAAAAAAGTTAATTATT